ATAATAATAAATAATTTTTATATGTATAATTTTTAATTTTTTATATCAAAATTGGCACGCTGTCAAATTTGAGCTGAGTGGAACTCAAATTTATGAGACTTTGAGTTGAGTTGAACTTGAGCTCCTGTATCTAGTTTAAATCGAGCTCAAGCCTGGACTCAAGCCTAAGCTTGAATAACCAAATATTCGGTTCGGATTGACTTAGACCCACTCCTAACCCATTCTAATTCACTGTGAAACAGAACCAAACTAAATTAACCCATTCCAATGACCAACCCAGGTCACCAAATAATAATGAGGCAAGGGTAGACTAGAGGTTGATAGTTGGTCATCCCTAATTATAGGTAGGTTCCAGAAATCATATATATTCATTCTCTCAAAAGATAGGGTTCCTTCTTCTCTCTCTCAGGTTTTAGGGTTGCTGTTAGAGATTACTTCCCTTCCTCTCTCTCTCTCTCTCAATTTCTCTCATATTACAGATAAAACCATAGGAACTATGTCAGCCCGATCCCTTTCCAAAGGCTACGTAGTTCAGCCCCTTCAAGGGGTCCGCCTACCGTTCATCTTCCCCAACCCAACCATCTGTTGGGCCCAGCCCATTATGGGATATTGACCCATATTATAGCCCACTCTCTTCAGCCAACTGTTTTTTTTGTTTTTCAAAAAAGAAAAACAAAAACTAGGGTTAGATCTTTTTTGCGCGCGGCGTGTTGAAGAGAGAGAGGAAAAGAGAGAAATCGAAATACTGTGCAGATTTCTCAGTGTGTAGAGTTCATCAAACGGCCGGAACTTTCCGATCCACCGTTCGATCGAGCAGAAATTTGAACAGTAAGTGGATGACTCATTTTTCTTCATTCTGAACGGTCGGATCTTTGATCGGAGCTCTTAATCGCCGGTTATTTGAGATCGAACAGAAGAAACTCGTAGTTGTTCGGGAAAAGAAAACATCTCGCGGTAGTTTTCATCAATTACTCTGATCAATGGTCATTTGTGGTTTGATTTGGCTGAAATTTGGTGAAATTGTTCGAAACTCAAAGATCTACGATCTGAACGGTGGAGATCTGATTTGGAGTAGTGAAGGTCTCCATGTTGTGGCCTGAACAGTAGCCGCGTTTGTGAGTTTTTCTAACTGTTATTTTCACCGCTTTTGGTATTCTCGTTTGTATGTTTGAAAACCTGTATTTGCTCTAAGTTTGTGAGCATATTGTAGTGTTTGAGTTGCTGTAATTGTTACCTCAAGTTATTAGTGGAAATTTTTGGTTGGGTCTCCTTGGCCCTGTGGTTTTTTACCCTTCACATTGGAGGGGTTTTCCACGTTAAATATCGTGTGTGTCTCTCTTTGCTTGGCTTATGATTGTTTTTATTGAAACAGAATCAAACTAAATTAATCCATTCCAATGACCAACCCAGGTCACCAAATAATAATGAGGTAAGGGTAGACTAGAGGTTGATAGTTGGTCATCCCTAATTATAGGTACGTCCCAGAAATCATATAGATTCATTCTCTCAAAAGATAGGGTTCCTTCTTCTCTTTCTCGGGTTTTAGGGTTGCTGTTAGAGATTACCTCCCTTCCTCTCTCTCTCTCTCTCTCTCTCTCTCAATTTCTCTCATATTACAGATAAAACCATAGGAACTATGTCAGTCCGATCCCTTTCCAAAGGCTACGTAGTTCAGCCCCTTCAAGGGGTCCGCCTACCGTTCATCTTCCCCTACCCAACCATCAACTCCACTACTATTGGCTTACACCAAGAAATTGTTGATTTTCCCCTATAAAGCATCAACCACATATTTTTGAATCAGAGTAATGAGTAAACCACTAAGGCTGCCTTTGGAAACGATGCAAATGGAGTGTAAATCCTGGTTCAGGGTAAATTCGTACTCTGATTCACTTTTGCCTGTGTTTGATAACATTACATTTATGCATTGACAAATGATAGACCAATGCATATTTACATTGATAATAAGATGTAAAAATACATCAATAAAAAATAAGTAAATGTGCATTCAAGTGGGCTTTTGATAAATAAAACATATGCTTTATTAAAATTCATGTTTGCATCCATTACAGCTTAAAGTCTGTTTGGTAAGAAGATAAATTTATCAGTGCAAAATTAACCCAACTTTACAATTTATATGAACCATTTTACATTCTACATATTTGCATACACACTTATTTGCATCACTTCCAAACACAGCCTAAAGATCACCATCCTCTTGTCCGAGCAAAAGAAACAGTTTCCAAAATGGCTCCTAAGCTTTGCCACCACACCTAATGAACCACCCTCAGCTATCAAAAGAAAAATGAAGAGAATTAGTATAAACCCAAAAACCATAAATGCCTTTATTATTCTTACTCAACCCCATGTACTTGTGTTTGGTTTCAATGCAAATAAATTTGCACTGATGCAAAACCATGGCAGTGCAAATTAAGTAAATTAAGACATGAAGCAGAATAAACTAAAATCCAAAAAAAAAATTAATTAAGAATATGCATTTTTGTTACGTTTGCATTCTCCTGCATTTATACCCGTGCAAATAAATTTGCATTACAATCAAACTCAGCCTTAGGCTCAGTTTGGAAGGAGTACAAATACAAATATGTATACGTGCAAATAAATACAAAATACATAGTTTTGCATTCTATATATTTGCATTTATACTGTACATATTTATATTTGTACTCCTTCCAAATTGGAAAGAGTTCAAATACAAATATGTAGAGTGCAAAACCTTGTATTTTGTATTATTTTGTATGTATTTGTAATGGACATTTGTATTTGTACTCCTTCCAAACTCAGCTTTAAGCTCAATTTGAAAAAAGTACAAATACAAATATGTACAATGTAAATATATACAAAATGCAAGGTTTTACACTCTACATATTTATATTTATACTCTTACCTCAGGGAGCCTTAATATAGTCCCTCCTTAATTCTTCATTATTACCATAAGATTTTATTATATTAGATTGGCCTTCACCAAGACTACTATGAGCCTGTTTGGGAGGGCTTCTGTCATGACTGAGCAGCTTTGAAGAAGCTACCAAAACTAGCTTAAAGTCGAGTTATCAGCTTAACAATAGTATTTTTCAGCTTTCTGGGCTCTACATATCGAAGTTACCAAAATATTTTGCATAAATTTGAGAACCCAATAACAAGAGTGAACAATGCCAAACTTCCAGATATAATAAAATGCTAAATTCGACCAAGCCAAAGGAGCATTAACATCTTGATTTTTCATCCCGGAATTCAAAACAAAAATAATAAAAAAAATTTTAAGGCTGTGTTTGATTTAAAAGAAAAAGTAGGAAAAAGAAGCAAAATATAAAGAAACCTTTACAAACTTTGTATAAATTTTCTTATGTTTCCCTTCCTAACCAAACATAGCCTAAAAGGTTGTCATTGATCCTCCCTTACAGTTAGAGACCAAGGGCTAAGCAAATGAAATCTCCCAAGCAAAAGGACAAACAAAAAACAATTCCTTTTCCATACAAATCAAACTTTACAACAGCAAATTCCCTACAAAGCCTCCATAATAAAAAGTCGTAGAAATCTACGAGGAATTACTTTGCTTGAGGTTCTATTTTACTTCATCTACACTACAAATACAACAAAAGAAAGCCTAAAGTAAAAGTAAAACCCAAATTTGCAGTCAAATTAATTGTACTCTCACGCTTTTGCACCACTGCAAATGAGATTGCATTGTAAGAAAACAAGCTTAAGAGTGCAAATAAAAATATATTCAGTGCAAAACCTTACATACAGTAATTTTAAACTTTGTATTTGCATGCTTCCCAAACTGAGCTTGTTTCAAAATTTTAACTCTGATTTATTTTTCAAGACTTGCAATGGACCAGATAGTTGAACGGGTGACTAGTGATCCAGTGGCTATTAAATTATGATTTTGTATGTGTTTGATTCTGTTTACGTTTTTTCATTCAACGTTTGTACTTTATTTGTTTGTAAAACCAAAAAAAATACTAATTACAACTGTTTATGACAATTAAACGCTATTAGGTTCCACATCAGCATAACAGTGACAAAAAGCCTAACAGTTTAAAAATTGACTTCCCCAAATGATAAACATGCACAAAAACTGAAATCCACTTTTACCATTCTCAATACATAAAAAAGAATAAATAACACCTATGTGGCATCGTTAATAATAAATGATTTGAATGGGCTAACTACCTCGTATAATAAAACAGCTTCTCTAATTCGATCTCTAAGTTGTTACCAAAAAATAAAAAAAAAGGATCTCTAAGACTGTTTTGTTGGGAAGAAAATAATAAGAGAAACAGAGAAAAAGATAAAACTTATTAAAGAATTTCACAAAATTTGTTGAGAACTTGAATTTCAATTCTCTCTTCTCTCTCTATCAAACCAAGCTTGAAACATATTATCTTTAAAAGGGACTGATACCTTGGCATCAATCAAGCCAAAATTTGTAAATTTTTATGAGGTAGGTCAACCTAACTGACCCAGAATGAGAAAACCATTTGAGTGAAATTCCGGTTTATCATCCAACCCGATTGATGGTGACCAAACAAACAGATATTACGGCAATTACCAGTTCCCCCGGGCAGAGCACGGTCCAACACAAACTCAAAAACCCAGTTCCAACTCAATGGGTCAACCCAAACCAATAAAAACCGGTTCATTCAAAGCCGACTTGCTGGCTTGACCCAATTCATGGTGTCTACTGTCTACGTCAGTTCTCTCGATTGAATCATTGATCTCCAACTTACTTCCCTGTTTCAGGCTTTCAGCTCGCTGGTTCGACGACAGCCGGTGATGGGTAATAGCGATGCTCCTCTTTTCATCCATGGTTGATGGTTCATGGCCTGTTTGAGACCTTTTCCTTCTTCCTCGTAGGCTTCGACTGAAGACTGAAGCTTGCATAGATCGGGGATATGCTGTTCAGATTTTTCCTCGGAGGTGGAAGAAAGGAAACGTTTTAAATTGTAACTAAAAGCAGACAAAGGGAAAAAGGTTGATCGAAACTCCAAAGGATCATTGACGAATGACGATATGGCTGCTGCTTTTTTATTTTCTTTCTTTGTTTCCCTCAACAGAACAAAATTTGAATGAGTTCTTTCTTTATATAAAAATGTATACAAGCGCCCCACAAATGATGATGGAACATCTCTCTCCTCATTCATCCCTCTCCCTCTCTCCCTCTCTCCTCTGAAGTTTGATCTACATGTTCCCATTATGCCTGTGTTCTCAATCATCAAGCAGTACTGGGAAACAGAAAAAGGAGGGGAAGAAGGTTATGGAATCAACTTGAGCTGATTAAAAAATATAGAACTACTATTGATCAGACCATTGCCAAGCCACTGTATCTTGGCCTTCTTCTTTCAGGTGACAGGCCTTCTTCAATGGCTTTTCTCTTGTTGCTCGGTGGCTGTGGTTGTAATTGTTGTTGTTGAACTGCTGGAGGTGGTGGTGGCGGTAAAGGCAGCAGTTGCTCTATTTGTAACTGCTCTTGCTGCTCCTTCAATTTCCCTTTCAACAAATGGGGTCGAAGTCTGTTTACATCAGATAGTTGCACTGGTTTCAGAAAGAATTCCTCTGCTCCTTCTTCTAAGCATCTGGCAAATACCCATATCAAACCATTTAAGGTTTCCAAGTTCCATCCTAAAAAATTCAAGAGTCATTTTTTTCTTTTTCTGTCCTGTTTTTTTTTTTTTTCTATTTTCAGGGAGGTGGGGGGAATTTATAAATTTGAATCAGATTAGAAGGGGTAAAAAGGAAATATGGGTCTTTATTTCTTACCTGCTAATCCTTGAAGGTACATTCTCAGAGGACATGATTACAACTGGTATGTCTTTCAGAGATGAAGATTCCTGTAAGTTTGCAGAATATCGTGGAAAATCTAGTGAGCTTCTTTCTGAGGTGGGAATGAATCCCAAAAAAAGAGAAACAAAAGCACAAGGAGAAAAGAGACAAAAGGATACACAAAGTTACAAACTATACCTTGATCTTTTTGAGCAGGTCATAGCCTGTCATTCCAGGCATACAGTAGTCTGTAATTATAAGATTCACTTCCATTTCCTGTAAAGCAAGAAACCAAAGATCAACCAACAAAACCCAGAAAAGAAAAGATTCAGACTTTCAGAAATCCAGGACAAAATCATACATGATGGTTTGAAGAAACAGAAGGTGGGTTTGGGTCTGTTTGGTCATCCTCACGCAAACCCAAAAACTCCAGGGCTTTGCTTCCAGAATCCACTGTAGTAACTGCTACGAGCAACAACAGAAAACCCCAAGCCAATAACAATTAAAACTCAATACATTCAAATCTGCAGACAATTCATGATAGAATGATCTTCTCATCTGTTTTTTTTTTCCTGCTTGTTTCCAAATCACAAAACTCAGATAGGATCATCAACATACCTTGGTAGGAAGAAGTCTTAAGGAGCCTCTCAATCAGTTTTCTGTCTATGAGGCTATCATCAACTGCCAAAACATGAAATTGGGCCTCTGCAGCCATACCCATTTCTCTGCTTGAATCTCCAATACCAAAGAGGAAGAATAGAGTGGGAAAAGAAGAAAACAGACAAAGAACCCAAAACGTATAGAGTAATTGTTGCCAACTCGCAGCTGCTGTGCTGGTGCTGGTGCTGCTGGTGATGGTGCACTGCTGCTGACGGTGAAGGGAGGAAGAAGAGGATTTCTAAGAAAGAAGAGACGAACCAGTTTGTGTTGAAATACTACCCACCAAAATCCCACAGCCTAGAAAGCAAGATCCGACCAGATTTCATACCGAATCTCCCGAATTTTCCAACTTGATTTTTGAATTAGAGAACAAGCAATGGACCCTCCTTTCTGCATATTTTTTTCCTCAATGAAAACAGAAAATACAATAACAAATCTTTGGGTCGCGATTCTCTTATACTTTTATTTAACAAAACCCCTTCAAATCTACAAGGATGTGAAGGTTTTGTTGGGCTTTTATTTGCAAAAAAGAAATCGAAATGTTTTGGACTGAAAGCAAAAGCTGAGGTGGGGGGTGATGTGGGTCCCACCAAAATCCCCCCAAGAGATACTGTGACGTCACCCCTGCTTCTTTTCCTTGGTGTGAAATCATGTGCCCTTACCATATCTTGAGCAGGTGGGGTGGTGCAAAGAGGGGGCAATTTTATTTGATTCCCCAAGATTTGCTTCCCATGGCCATTTAATGACAGCAATGTGTGCCTTTTGCAATGTACATCCACATCTACTACATAGTCTACATTCACCCCCCATCTCCACAGCGGCATTTTCTCAAACACCTATAAAACCAAACCAAGCAAAACAAAACAACCCCTCTTTATCAACTCACCTGTTATGTCCCCACTATCGTTCCTTCACCCTCTTTGTGTAAAATCAAAAGATTCAATATCCACTAATATCTTTTGATTATCTTTCTTAAGATAATCCATCCATTCTGATTCTCGGTTGCACATCCTTCATATCAGCTCACCCCAGAAAAGGAGAAGAGAAGATGAGAATCTCTAGGCTAACCAACTAAAGCTGACTATATATTACTTGAATTTTTTGTAGGACCCATCTTACAAAAATATCCCATTTTGATTGGCTGAGTGGTAGACTTTTTTTTGGATGCTTTTGATGATTCAACTTGAGTTAATTTTCTTTTGGGTTGGAAGATCTTGGAGCCAGTGGAAATGTTGTTACTGCCCTCTGGATTTGTGCACAACATGTGGTAGATCCAGTGTCAGAGATTCCAAACCAGAGGTTGACTTGGTCAAAAGTGATTTTTTGGTTGGACCGATTTGGTTTGATGTACATAGTAAACTCGGGTCAACCTGGGCCATTGAAGGCGACTGATGCAAGCAAAATCTGTTTTTTTCCTTCAATAGTTCAATCCTTTGACTTGGTTAATAAAATTAAAATGAAAAAATAGTTTCATATCCATGGGCAGCTCTTCATGGATCTTCTTCTTGTAGTTTTCTTGCAAACCAATTCGTCCTAAAAAAACAATTATAATTACTTTGGTTTTTGTTTGGAAAAATTCTTGCTTTTGAGCTTTGGGCTTTGGATATTGATATAAAAAGTGTCATTCATGAAATTGTTAAGCCAAACATCTACAAGCCCCCCAAAGTAGAAAGCTTAAGATTGGGATTTTGTGCTTTTGGACTTCAAAAGTAAAGATCCTGACGTTTATCCAAACGCAACCTTAATCATCATCAAATTGGATTGCATGTAGATTGGCCGCTTCATGGTTGAACCGGTTGAGGGTCCATGCATGGGTCAACAATCAGTTAAATTGATTGCTCTAAATTCTAACCCATCAGACGGATTGTTACATCCTTCTGATATCTGTGGGGTCCCCATGATTCAAATCTACTTTTCTAGAGATTTGCATTTATGGTCTTAGAATTTGAAAAGAGTGATGACTTGAAAAAGAGCGATGACCCATGACCCTCTAGAAGTCACATAACGTCTAGTTACGTGAATAAATCAGAACCCTTCAATCCATTTCTGAAAAACCTAATCAGAACCATGATGTGTGATCAAGATGGTGCTCCTCAAAACACCCTAGAGTATCTCTATAACCACGTTTAACTCTCAACGTTGAATGATTAGTGCACAAAAGGTGCTTTCCATCCCACTTTTTAATTTTAATTAATACTAAACTTCAAAATCCCATCAAACTAGTAGTGGGCCATGAAGAAAATGAACCGTCCAGATTGAGTATCACCACTAGTGAAAAAAATCAGAACCCTTCAATCTATTGTGAGAAAAGAAAAATAATCTAAACAATGATGTATTCAAAGCACTCCAGAGCATCTCTATGCCCATGTATAGCTCTCAAGGTTGGATGATTAGTTCACTAAAGGTGCTTTTCACCCCACTTTTCAACTTAATTAATTAAAACCCCCAAATTCCATCAAACTAGTAGTGGGCCATGCACAAAATAAACGGCCCAGATTGGATATCACAAATCTACATACAGCCCAACTAACCCTTTAACTGTTTAAAACTACCCTAGACAGACCTAGGAAAAATAAAAAATAAATCTTATTAAAGCAAGCCTTAATTTGATAAGGATGGGTAGTACATCAAAATCCCATCTAAAAGATTTTGATGATCCATCAAAGCCAAAGAGTTATTAATTAGTGAAATGAAATGCCATCTACAGAGCTTTGAACAGGTGAAGCAGCAGACACTATTGAAATTGTAATCTATTGCTTTGTACTGCGTTTTCTAGCAAAGATTCCCCGACACACTTTACTTTATTGTACTCCCGTGTCCACATAATCCGCACCGATGAGACCTTGGGAGCAGTAATTATTATGGCTTCATAACCTTTATTAACCGTAATCAAGGATTCCCTGCTTCTCACCCCCACCAAAAAGACCCAAAACGCTGACGATTTAGATGGTCCTTGCTCATTGATGAAATGATCAATTTGAGAGGGCCCGCAAAGGACTACTAATGACTCTCAAACCTCAAAAGCCGTGACCCTGACCCACATTCATCTTGGATTTGGTAATCCTTGTTATGGGCTTTTTGTGGAGTTGACCCCAGGATTTGTCAGCTTGATCTTTTGATCAGTGCAGATTATAGCCGTCCGATGGATTTCATCATATGACCATCCAAAAGAAGGAAAATCTTATATTCTTATATATCTACTAAAACAGGGTATACAGATCAAGCGGTTAAAAGAGTAAAATCAGCTTCAGGGATTGATTAGGGTTAAAGGGTGGAAACCCGGTAGACAAATGGGCAGCCACGCGGGTCAATAGTCGACCGTCCAGAGAGTGGGGGCCACCCAGACAGGTCACCCTTCCATGAACGGTCGTCGAGCCAAAAGTTTACAAAACTTTGGACGGCGAATCGACCAACAAATTAATCTCGGCGATCCTGTCTCCCCATAATTATCAACCCAAATCAGGCGTTGTTCCTTTGGACCAGGGATCCACGTCCAGTGACCTAGACCCGCTGCGGCAACCGCAGGATTGGAATCTTCCAGTTTAGGGTAGATTGAATTAGCCCCTAATCAAATAATTTATCTTTTAATCTCAAGGAACAAAATGAAGCTTAAAGCCTGGCTCTGGATGCAGGGTCAAATCCATGCATCGCTTCATGAGGCTGAGGTTTCAATTTGTCAAGTCTTGATTTCACATGGTTGGTAGTACATGATTTGATCAATGGAGGAAACTTCCAATGATCTTGGGCTTCAACGTCTGGTTATTCTCTGTTTTTTTCATCTAGGTTTTTTTTTAATTGCATAAAATTCAGCAATTTTTGGATATATATATATATATATATATATATATATAATTTTTTGAAATTCAATAGGTAATTCTCCTATTCGAATTTATTGAAGACATAGGTTATAATATAAATATTTAATTATATTTATTTTAAACACATATTTTTTTGTTTGTAAAATTTTCATTATTGCTATTTTTTAGAAAATTTCATATTTTGACTGAATTCTTTTTTATAAAATAAAACAAATTATTTCAGCTAAATTTGAAATTTTGGTTTGTTGCTCGGGCGATTTTGAACCTTTTGGATCGGACGGTTCACGTTACGTGCGGTTCGATATTTTCATAGGGAGATTAATGAAAAAATAAGTTCAGGGTCAGCTTAGTAATGGTGGTCCTTAGGGTGGGATTTATGATCTTCCAAGGCTGTAAGCAGGGAGAATGGTGGTCCTTGGGACCACAGTTAGGGAGGGTTTGCCTGGTAGTAACAGGTACAAAAATGATGCCACACAGAGACTAAGAAACGTGTTTCTTGGATTGTTTCATGAAAAAGATAAGGAGATATCTTTTCTCCATCACATGGCATGTCACGTATAATTTCACACATAAACTACTGTTTTAGGGACTCGTAGGGTCCCCTTTGTGTTTTCACGAGGAAGGTTCGGCCCACCTCATTTCTCTCCTCTTACAATTGGTTCATGGTCCCCCCAGCCCCAACCCTCTCTCTCTCTCTCAAAACAAAGAAAAGATTTCCTTTAGATTTTGTCAAATTCAAAAGAGGTTGCTCCATCTTCAATTGCTACTGTTGATCAACAAACAAGGGTCATCTCAATATCTCATTTGGCTTTGTTTTTGTCATCATCAATTTGAGTCTCAAAGCTCATCCTTCCGTTAGTGAGGCTTGACTTTGGTTCAAATGGTTGACATGCTACAATGCAATCCTTGGATCTTTCGGGAGAAGCAAAAGAATGGATAAGGATGTTCTAACTCAATGGATCAGAAGATAATTTAGCTCTTGACATTTGATATTGCACCTAATGGCCTTATAAAATGGCTCAATTCTCTATCAAAATTTTGATTAATTCTTGAATAAAAATTTGATTTGTTCAGTTCTATCAAAATATAGAAATGGGAGTTTTTTTTTTTTCTGTGGGGAGGGGCACAAGCATCCATTGATAGCTAAATCTGTACTGTCTGACCTACCAAAAGATTATAACTAAGTATTGTAATTTGTAATTAATTGCTTATTGGCTATCAGAGAATCATTAGTAGGTCAACCTCTAGGAATGACAAAGCAGATGTGTTTGCAATTTTTTTTTCAAAACACATGACAAAAATCTGGTGGGCCTGCAAATTTTCATGGCCATGGAACTTGTACCAACACCCTGATTTGGATAAACTAGCGGTTGTCTCAATCTTTTATCAAATAATTCAGGTAAGATTTCATCATCCAACTGATAATTACTTAACTAAATGCAAAGAACCTAACCCCAAACCTCAAATTTCTAACTGATCAACATCCACCATCATATACAATTCGAAAACTCAATTCAGCTCAACAAAGCCTTCTATCCCAACTATATATATATTTCAAAAATTATTAGGCTCAGTTTGGAAAGAGTACAAATACAAGTATATAGAGTATAAAACCTTGTATTTTATGCTATTTTGTATATATTTGTATTTGTACTCTTTTCAAATTGAGCCTTAGGCTGT